ATTAGGGTGCCAGTAGGATATGATTATGTGTGTGTGTGTGAATATGTGTGGATTGTGTGCTTGTGTATGAATTTTTGTCTGTTTGCAGACTTGTGGCTAGGAAACTTAGTTATGGTGTGTGGTTTTGATGGATTTACTTAGCAGACCAAGTTTCTATTACAAGCAGATCTTTATTTTGATATATATGTGATTTTATAAGCAAATGCAAAGTGGTTGCATTGCAAATGGTGTGCTATGGGCAAACATACAGCTTGGATAGAGAGAGTAGGTGCGTGGGCCCCACAAGGAGCTCTGAGCCAAGTGAAAATGTTTAGCATATGTATTTATATAAATACATGGTATTTGGATTGATTTGTGACCACTCTTGTATAATTTGTGCATTTTGGGGGTTTAGGGTCCATTTTGGGAAATGGCACCCGGGTGGTCAAATTTTGATGTATGGGGGTTTTCCATCATTTGAATGTTCTTTCAAGTGTTTTTAGTCTTATTTGACGTGTCCAAAGTGTTCCCACAGGTTTGTGACCATTAGGATGAGATTTGGACAATTTTGAAAATGGTTTTTACCAAAAAGCTGCACTTTTGCATCCGGGTGTCCAAATCTTAATCCAACCGTTGGATTTCTCTAAAATTTGGGTTACAAGTAAAACCTTTTATAAGCTTTGTGTGGGCTTTGGAATCACGTCGATCGGATATCGGACAGAGAAACGACACACTCCGAAATTTGGTCTGGAGGTGCTGTCATGACAGCTACAGTAGTTATATTGTAACCTGCACAAAATTCAATCCGTCCGTTGGATCTTTTCAAAATTTGGTATGCTAATAGTATTCTTAAAAAGTGACATGTGGGCTTTGAAATCACTCCGATCAGAGGTCGGATGATGAAATAGTGCACTCCGGAAGTTGGTCCGGAAGTGCTGTCATGACAGCTTTCATGACAGCAAAATTGACTAAATTTGTAACATGTTCAATTTTTAATCCGACCGTTGGATATTTTTGAAATTTGGTACACTTATAGTATCCTTTGAATGTGACTTGTGAGCTTTAAAATCATTTCGATCGGAGATCGGAAGGCGGAACGGCGCCTCCCAGAAGTTGACCCGGGAAGGCTGTCATGACAGCAATTTAATGCTGTCATGACAGCATATTTTTACCCTTCTTTTGTCTAACTTGCTTCCGTGCGCTATAGGTAGAACCTAAAAAAAATTTTTTTAAAGGCTTTAAATGTTTAATTTTCCATTGTATATTTGCTTAGTGATTTAAATAGTTTGTTTCCTAAGTTGGTTTTAGGATTAACTCCTTAACCACACTTAGTTTATTTGGCTTGTGTGATTTTTGGATAACACTCGGGGCACGTGTTACATGTAGCCACTACTACACTTGTCCCAAATCTTTCCCTTTTCCTTGCTTGCAATTTAGGCCTGTAAAAATATAACCATAGGGTGAAATAAATATCTCAATAATGGAATAACCTACTACTACTAATTAACCTGCATAACTATGAATAAATAAAGCTATCGTATGAAAATACATTTATACATATATGCACAAACACATATCTTTTCATAAAATCATTTTTACTAGCATGATTATCTACCATCCAAACCTTCATATCACCCAGACTGAAACCATAGGCTCCACTAAGCCAATCATACACTCATTGATTTGAGTACACTTTCAGTGGTAGAATCACCCAACTAAAGGTATTCTGTCCCACTTATGAACTATAATTTTCCCATATCACACACGATCAAGGCATCGTTACTCTAATACTGCATTACACTAATGTTCAAGAGTACAAATCTCCAACACAACACCCATAAGAGTCTTCAAGAGATAATTTCCAATACCACACTTTACTAAGCACTCAGGAGATGAAATTCTATAACATGATCCCTCATCTAGCACTAAGGAGAATATATGCCGTACGGGTGAACTTCAATCCCCTAACATGATCATACTCACATAGAAAGCACTTATTTGTATTCAAATTGTATTTATACACATACATATATTTTCATAAATTTATTTTCATGCATAATACACTCATTTCACAAACATGCACAACTTTAAAACAAATATACATATCATAATACCATACTCACGAATAGTTAGATAAATTAATCAAATAGAGCGAATTATTTAGTTATTTTAACCTTTTTATCACTAGAAATGTTACTCATGGTATTCTCTAATCTCTTATTATCACCACACTTGCTTCCAATTCACTGAAGCATACATGTAGTATCAATTGACACAAATTAGCACAAAGATTAATAATCAACTCCCAAACTAGTCAAAAAATCTTAGTTCAATTTCTAAGAATCTTTTTATTATTAAAGGGTAAGAAATTAACCCCTTAAAACTTCCCAATTTAATTTCTCTATAATTTAAATTAAAAGAAATTAAGGTAGAATCGGAGCTTAGGGTAGTATAAAACTTATTCAGCAAGCGACTGGTCAAAATTGTCTCCCAACCTCTCAAAATTTGATGCCTTAGCAAAGTCTTAACTCCTTCTCCCCTCTCTTGCATTTCTCCTTTTTTCTCCCTTTTGATTTCACAAGTTGGACGTGTCCTCTTTAAGCAACTTTCTATGACATGCATCACGGCACATGTTGCGTATGTCACTGCGTGTGGCATAGTGAAAGAAACTCTCACTACGATCATACGCTTCACTCCGTAATGGCATTCTTCCACTTGATCTTATTCATTCAACATACCAAGGAGTCAAAACACTGGTTGACTATCCAAAATTTTAAGCATTCACTAATTTACTAATTTACTCTTAATTAACAATTAGTTTCAAAATTAGAAACTCAAGATGTTACACTAAAAACATTAGAATAAAACTACAAGGACTAAAAACTTGATAAAACTATAAGGATTGATAATTGTGTTTTTCCTTTAAAAAAATAGTTAATGAATGTGGGACTTTCTCAATACATTCTAATATTCCTCATGCTACTTTTTTCATCTTTTTTGTATTTAATTTTTGAATAAATGAGCAAATTACCACTTGAATTTTATGTTAAGTAGCAACATAGATCCCAAACTTATTTATTATACAATTTATTCTCTTAAATTTTAAAAATGATGTAATCTGGCTCCTATCAATAATAAAAGTTAACTTTAATCGTTAGTTTATTATAGAATGACAAAAAAGGGCATAAAAAACTATTTGATCCTTTTATATGATGTTTTATCCTTGTTTGCAATTTTTGGATTCTTTATTGTAATTTTTTTCCATTCCTGTGATTTTTTGTGTCCTTTTTTGTTATTTTATTGTTAACTAACAGTCAACGTTATTTTTGTTAATGGTAAAAGCCAAATTGCATTGTTTTAAAAAACTAACAAAAATAATTTACATAATAAACAAATTTAGATTCTGCGGTATTATTAGATCTAAAATTTAGAAGGTAATTTGCTCATTTACCTTTAGTCTTTCATTCATTTTTCTTCTTTTTTATTTGTTTATGCTTGTACTCTTTTTTAGTCTTAGAGACCTCATGTCCACACTAAAGACCTTAAGTTATGTACCTTCAATCCACTCTACAGTTAATCAATGTGAAAACCTTCCAAAACATTATCTAATAAAGAATGCCTAAGATGGTTGCATATATGGGAGGTTGTATGAGATGCAACCATAAAGTAAATGAACATGGCAAGTCTAGAGGAAACAAATTATAGGCAATTAATAGAGGAAGCAAAATATTAGGTCTCAAAATCAAGGGCAAACAATCACATCTAGATGACTTTCTTATGAATAAATCACATCGCAGATTGAAGGACCCAGAGATTGACTTTCATGCTGAACAAAGAATACGAGAGTAAGAGAAATGTGCAAGGGAAAGAGCATGAAATAATGTAGTTGGTTTATTGTGTCCTCGTGACACCTTGTATTTAAAAGATGGTATTGCAAGAAAAGCCCGAGAATTATCATATCATATTGTTATATTATTCATTCAACTGTGACCCACCAACATTAATTTAAGGATTAAGGCATAGTTTTATCCTTAAATTATAGGTTTAAGAATGTTTGGAATTTTTTTTTTGTAATGCTTCTTTAACTTTTGATAATAGTGTAATGCCTCTCAATCATTAACAAATGCTAATTTTAACCATTAGTTGATTATAAAATTATAGAAAATGATATAAAAAATTATAGCAAAAAGAAAAAAATATAAATATAAGTACTTTATAAAAAAATTAATACCAACTAAGTTCATTTACATGTAAAAGATTAAAATTCAATTTTATAAATACTTATTTATAATTTTTTGAGTCATTTTTTTGTAATTCTTGATGCCATTTTCTGCATTTTTTTGTTAAATTAATTATCAAAGTTAACTTTTATTAATGGTAGGAGCAATAGTATACCGTTTTTAAAAATTAAAAAAAACATTATACAAAAACATGAATTTAGGGCCATAGACATTTCTAAACCTATAATTTAAGAATAAAATTACCTTTTAATCCTTAGATTAAACCACACGTTACGCATGCATTTGCCAATGTCATGTTTTGACTAATATATCGTGCACATTCATGGTTGTTGGCATCTTAATCAAATTCCATTATGACTCACGAATGATATTTTGAGCCATACAATAAAAGAGGGAAAAATAATTGAAGAGATAAAAGAGTCCAGAGAGCTTGCTGAAAAGGTAAGTCATGGCTAGAATTTAGCATGTACTCATATACACATAGCTTTTTTTTTTTTTTGTTTTTAATTGTTGCTCAAGGTATCCTCACAGTCAATAGTCATGAGATTATGGCCACAAAAAATTTGAATGCCATTTAAAGAGTTATTCTCTCCCAAATAATATTTTTTCATACACACATTCAGAAATTGAACTCTAAAATGGTGCTTTAGGGTCTCAGATTGATACCATTTGTCCCACATCTACTTGATTATACATGCAGCTTTTCATTAGCCAACACTATTCAAGTCATTAGTATTCATCTCACACAGTGAAAGTAGAGAGGAGCTGCAACTATTCATCGACTTCATACAAGATTTCTTGATTTGTGCGTGTCACCCTTGCACAGGGGTCATGGTAATCTTTTTTGTATCATTCCAATTTTACAAATTCATGAAATTTTTAAAAGTATATTGATGATATTGATGATCATAATGCATAATTACCGTTTTTATTATTTAAAAATGCTACTGTTCAAGTGTTCATCATAATATTGTTTTTCAAAAGAGTATATTTTTAAATGGAGATAATTGAATCAATAAAAATCATTTAATCATTTATTCTATGGGCAAGACTTAGGTACTTCACTTTATATTTTAATATACTTTTATTCAATCAAAAAAAACAAGTAAATTTTAATATATTAATAATAATATTAATAACAAATATTTGTAATAAAATAAATTATATATATATAAATTAATTAAAAAATACATTTTTCTTATTTCTTAGGAGTGTTGTGTTTTTGCGTGTCTTTATTATTTCTTCGTCAAACCCAGTATCATATACCAAGTAGGCCCTGTTTCAGGTTTGGTTCATTTAAACCGGGCATCGGATTCCTTCGGGTTAACAGGCTAGCTTGACGGGTCGGTTTTTTGGGTTTTTACCGTTTCCTTCTTTGCGCACTCATCGCTGTTTCAGCTATCTCCCTCGTCCTTGTGTACGCATATCATATGACGATTTGTCTGAGACCTCCAATCTTGTAATGATTGCCTTCGACTTAACGCCGATGCAGCAGCCGAGAAGCAGTCCACTCTGGAACTTGCTTTTTCTGCTCGGTTTACTGCTCTTTGTGGAAGTCATGGTAGCGCAAATTAAAACTTCTTGGCCGTAATAGTTAACTGGGTTTCTCATCATTTAGTGATATCTCTAATTTCTTTGGAAAATTTATTAAGTGCCCTATCTTATTTCGCCTGTTTCTCATTAGGTTTCAGGTCACCAAGTTTTTGAATCGGAACATTATTCGATGGTTGTGAGCGCATGGCCCTTCCTTGAGGCTGTCAGAGCTGCATGGAGGTTGGTTGATGGTGGGTCTTCAGCTGTGGATGCTGTCGTAGGTGGTTGCTCAGTTTGTGAGGAACTAAGGTGTGATGGAACTGGTGAGGGTATTTCTTTAGTTATTTTGAAACTAGGGCGGGTATCTTAATTCAAAAGGGCTTGATTGAGTTGGAATTGAACCTAGTTTGTTTAAGAGAAACATTGTTTCTTGTTAATAGGTGTGAACCTGAATGTGTGGTCGGTTAAATTAATATATAATAACCTGTGATTGAAAATTAAATATTTAAAAGGGTTGATACTACAATGCTAGTTCTTCCTTTCAATTAAAAGTATGTTGAAACAATTGCATAGTTCCTTCTCCTTTTTATGCTTTCGGAGCATTTTTAAATTGTTTTTCACTTCATTGAGTGCTTCAATGGGATAGTACTAGCCAACGTTGTCAAGAAACAATTTGTTCAGGATATCTTTATCCAATTTCTGCTTTTCGTTCGATGAGTTATAACTAATTTGTTAGAATGATTAGCTTTTATACTAGAACAGAATTTCTACCTGGAAAAGTTTCAAGGAAATTTGGATCTTGGACAGTAAGATATCAAATATGACAAGCTTTTTTTTTTTTTTTGGGGGGTGCAATCAAGGAAATTTGGATCTTGGACAGTCAAAATGCATGCGGAATTTCTTGAGAAGAGATAAAAATGAATAACTTTGTGGTTAAATTGTGAAATTAATAATAAACTTTCCTTGGTGGGTGGCATGCACTCTTTAAAGTTGTTTGTCTACTCTTACCCTTAGAAGAAAGTGAACCCTTGCAGAATTTTGCTGTTATTGTTCTGTTACGTTACTTCTCATTGTCTAAATATTTGTTTTTCTTTGTCACACGAAGCACACTAAGGCATGGTTGGATTTGTTATTACCTTTTCAATAGTGGGTCCTGGTGGAAGTCCAGATGAGAATGGAGAAACTACAATTGATGCTATGGTCATGGATGGGGTAACTGTCAACTACCATTTGCTTCTGCTTTTGCATCCTTTATTTATGCATCATTCCTTTGCATGCGTTGGCATGATTTTTCAGTCCTGTATTTTTCTAAGGAAATGCATAGTTGACTATGGAAGTAGGAGCAGTTGCTGCCATGAGATATGTCAAGGATGGAATCAAGGCTGCAAGATTAGTAATGCAACATACCAAACACACTTTGCTTGCAGGAGAGAAAGCCTCAGAATTTGCCATTTCAATGGGACTTCCAGGACCTACAAACCTTAGTTCGACAGAATCTATAAATAAGTGGGGCAAATGGAAAGATGATAAATGTCAACCAAATTTTAGGAAAAATGTTCTACCTATAAATAACTGTGGTCCATATCATCCTACAAATTCTTTGGAACTTTCAGAGGAGATATGCTCCAATACTGCTCATATGCAAGATATTAATTCATTATTACCTCATGTTGGTCTTCACAGCCATGATACAATATCAATGGCTGTTATTGATAAGGTAAGATTATCACATTCTTTTTTCAAATTTTTATTTACAAAAAATTATCAGTGCAAGTGATCCTTATATGTGGTGTAGATGGGGCGTGTTGCTGTTGGCACATCAACCAATGGGGCAACCTTCAAGATTCCTGGAAGGTAAGTTTACCATATAGATGCCATTATCATAATACATATACAGTTGGAATATAATTCGATAAAGCATTTGATTGTCATATAGTGGAATATTTTTAGGATTTCTTATCATTTAGCACTCCCTCTTTTCTTTTGCCCAAAAGTCCTTCTGAGCTATCTTGTTTCTCTTTTTATTTCCAAGCCACTTGCAATCTTGGTATCTTCCCTTGTTACCCCATAAGCAGTTCAATATTAATATCATTTCTGCTATTATCGGCCTTGTATTTGTACATATTACTCTTAAGGACCTCACATAAAGCAAAATTGCAATTTTAAAATTTTAAAGTAGTGAAATTATAAAAATTCACACTTAGCTTCATTAGCGCAAGACAATTGCAGAATGATTTATGCATATTTTGATTTCTAATTATGTATTTGACGGAAACAAGTCCAGAAAAGTGTTATTCAATCACAATCTGCAGAGTCTAAGTCTAACGGGGATATATACTAGTCATAAGCAGAAAATTAAACCCAGCTCCTATGCTTTTGAGACGGATTGGCTCTCCCACAAAACTAACCAGAACCTTCTTGGATTTCTCTCCCTCTAACCAACCCCTTTACATACTATAAGTATATGATTTTGGAAAAATAATATATTCATTCCGAGAGTAGGAAATATATACAGGAGGGAGGAGAATTAATATTAATGGCTCATAATGAGTATTAATTACAAAATATCCCTATGATAATGATATATAAATGATAAATAAGAAATGTCCTAATATCTTAGCATTCCTTCTCCAGTTGGAGCATAGCTGTCAAGCATGCCCAACTTGTTACATAGATTTTGGACCCAAACTCCGTTAAGAGCTTTTGTAAAAAGATCACCTAGTTCTCAAGTGCACGTGTCCTGTGGAGATGAATTTCTCCTTAGACCTGTCATGAACATCAATTTCAACATGCCTTGTGTTTCCATAAAACATAGGATTAGATGTTATATGTAGCACAACTTTACAATTGCACCATAACTTCGCTGGTAGTGAGGTTTTGAGGCCAACTTCTTTCAATAACTAATATATCCACACTACCTCGCACACTTTTGACTCCAGTAATCACAAAAGTCTTCTTGAAGACATATGTTGTCATATTCCTTGTGCAACTGTTGTTCAAGATCCACAAGACGCTGAGTGAAGAATGCAACTTCAAGTTTTTGTTTTGTATTCCATTGAGGCATGCTAGGACAGTGGACACGCTGTTTGTGTTTAAATTGTTGCAAAAGATTTCTTGATTACAAACTTGGGCCTCAGATTGAAAATTGCTGGCATTTTTTTCTTTTTAAAGCCTTTATTTCCAGGCCTAATTTGCTGAATGAAGCCTTTAAAGAGGGGATGAGCAATCCCATTCCTTCAATTTATTTTCCTTGTGTGCCAAAGTTCGAAATCTCTAAGTTCCTTAGCTTTTTCACCAGCTTATTCAATTTCTTCGAGGCACGAGATGTTAATTTTTTTCTGTTTCAATAGATTTGTGAGATGAGGTCCCAATGTTCCAAGTATCAAATATGATCATGCTCTTATAGGCTAATTTCTTTACTCGCATCTATTCAGAGTAATGTGGGAATGCTTGCTCTTTTAGCACTACTTTCGGATGTCAATGTAGCAACTCTCGCTCACTTGTCACTATGCTTGAGCCATACAGCATGTTGCTTAAATGCAATGACCTAACATTAGCACAAAGACTGGCTTAAAAAAATAGGTGTTCACACACACACACACACACTCACAAGGTGCCATACATTTCCCTTGCTGAACTCACTATTTACTGCTATATCAGTCCATTCCTGAAATCACCATGTTAACGCTATTGGACTTGCTTGCTTAATTTTGTAAAACTTCTAATATTAACACTTTTGTTTGTGTTGAATGGCTTTAATGATTTAGACGCGTCTATATTTGCAGTATTTTAAATTTCCTTTTGACTACAGGGTAGGAGATGGTCCCATTGTTGGATCCTCAGCATATGCTGACAATGAAGTTGGTGCATGTTGTGCAACTGGAGATGGTGACGTCATGATGCGCTTCCTTCCATGGTAGCATCAAAACTTATAGTTTCTTCTGTTATGATCTAGAGATGCTTTGAATCTTGCCAAACATAGTGAAAATGAAAGAGTTATATGAAGATACTATTGTGTTGATTTTTCAAATTGGTTGACACCAAAATATGCAGCAGTTAAAAGTGCATATAAGTATACTATATACATGATGATTAATGCCTTGTTTGGCAATGTTGGAGCTTTTTGGATTTAGTCCTTTTTTACGCCTTTTGTTAGTCAAATTCCGCGTGCCTTGTGGATGCATTTTTGATCCAACTGCTGTTGTCAAGTAGATGAAATCTTGAATTTCTTCTAGAAGCATGTTGCCATACGTATACATGAATTCGTCATTCTGTAATTTCAAGCTTTAGATGTCAGGTAGTATTGAGAAATGTGGGTAGATGTTGGGATTTCCTATGTTTAAGCCACACCATTATGCATTGGGCTTACTTTATCCCAAGATACTAAAAACTGAAGTAGTCGTTGGACTGGTTAAGGTATTGATTCAAGAATTAATGATCAAAATTATAGTTGAATTGCAATCAAACCAGTCATAAACATAATTTTATTTAATCGGTTATGACACCAGTTTAATGGTTTACTCTAATTGACCCAGATTTTCATGCTATGCTTTATCTATATCTTGATATTTGCTTCTAATTAATTTTCAGTTATCAAGTTGTTGAAAGTATGAGGCTTGGAATGGAGCCTAAAAGTGCAGCGCAGGATGCAATAGCACGGATAGCGAGGAGATTCCCGGACTTTGTGGGAGCCGTTGTTGCTGTAAACAAGAAGGGGGAGCATGCTGGTGCGTGTCATGGATGGACATTTACTTACTCTGTAAGAACCTTAGCAATGGAAGATGTGGAAGTCTTCACTGTGCTGCCCTGAAACAGGCTCTTTTGTGGGAATTGGATTTTATTTGTCGTGTTCCAGAAAATTGTTGGCATGTTATAACTAAACCACATAGTGCAGGCCTTTAGGAGGATTAAAATTGCATGTTGTGAAGAGAAATCTTGCTTGGAAGGGCCAAAAATTTCGACTTCATAAAAAACTATTTTTGGTGATGCCAACTGGTCTCCAAAAGTTATGTAACTGCTAAGCCCCAATTATTCTTGATCAAGTCAGATTAGACAATAGAGATATAAAAGTTTTGGAATATGATTTCTCTCAGCAACTCTAATAGATTTTGGTATTCCTCTGTAGGTCCAAAGGCCTCGAGTAAAATTATTTTTTTAAATTAAATAAGTAAATTATTTCATAAACTTTAAATTCTGTAATGTCATAGACCCTAAATTTGTTTATGTAAATTATTTTTTTAATTTTTGAAAACTGAAATGTCTGGGTTAGATAAGTAAGGTTATTCTTACTAATACTCTACAAACTCCTTAACTAATGGCAATTACCAACTTTATAGATTTTCACAAATGGGGATAACAAATTATTCAAACTTAGATAAAAGGGAACTAAGTTTTCATTTTTTTTAAAAAAAAAAACACCCCAAAAGAACATCACATTGAAGAATTAGAGTTTATCTTGCATGCGGAAGCATGAAATCTCAAAAAATTAATACATTTGCATAAAACTCTCAAAAACAATGAAATAATGCAGAAACAAAGACATGTGTTGCGACTCATGGCACTTGCGTTGTAGCTTGTGCGTCTTTGTATTGTCACGATGCATTGCACATTCCATAACAATAGAATTTTGCTATCATTTGATAGCACCAGGGGCAACTTTCAACACTTCTCATATCTTCGTCTAACATCTAATTGATATGATTTAGGTATCTATAGAGTACTTTCTCTTAGCTCTAGCTAATGGCTTTGGTTTCACACTCAAATTATTTTTCATTCAAAAGTTGGACTCTCATTTTAAAATTCTCACTTTTCCAACTTTAACTCACAACTTGAGTGCCCAAACTCAATACCCTAAGTCAAAAGCAAATCACATTCAGTAGATTAAATCAAACCTGTGCAATGCATTACATCATCAATCATACTTATAAAATGCATTTTCATTGCTCAACCCCAACCCTTTAATCTCAAAAACAGAAAGGGAAGTTCTAAATCTCATAAATCATCAATTAATCTACATGAATCATATTTCATACACATTTCTTATTTGCACTAATATTTTGGCCTTGCTATAGTTTTTACAATACATTCACATACAACCTAGGGCCCAAAATACACTATAATTTAACAAAACATATAGTGCAAGTAAGTTAGAACTGAAATTATCCTAGTTGGCAATATCATGTACCATATACATATAAATGTTCAGAAGGTAAAGGAGGCCAACTAATAGGATCTTAATCCTATGCCTTGGGTTATTTCCCTTTGTCCGATCCTCTTGCGTTAGTTTCTGTAATATTGAAGAAAATGGAGTAATTACAATCACTTAGTAACCAAGGTCCATCTAATTCATACTAATATATGTTAATTAATTTAAATGCAACTGGCAATGGTAATCAATTTTAAATCATAAAACATGTTCAAGAGCTTAATTCCACATTCTCATTCATAATAATACATACTAACGAGATAACGATTGAATAATGCAATTTCATATAGAAAAGAAACTAATCACACAATTTACTCACTAAGATCACAATACAAATTATAATCAAATAAGGGACCTTTAGACTTATTTCCAAGAGTGCCACGTCAATTGTTGTTGCTTTGAACTCAAGCATCTTAGAAATATAGCGATCTTTAAACACTATGATGGAATTATTTGAACCCAATTGCCAATAGAGATTGTAGGAAAGAAAATCTTGTCCAGTGATCAAACTACTCCAAGCACAAGAGGCTTTTGGGCCAAGAACAGCACCAATGAAGGAAGAACTTGAATGGTAGATACTTTTTTGAACTTATAACCCAAAGATCATTTGGATTATGGAGCACTCGCCAAGCTAATTTTACAAGTAGGGAATAATTGAACACCATAAAGTCACTAAATCCCAAACCACCCTCTCTCTTTAAGTTGCATAGTCTGTGCTAGGCTTTCCAATGAATATTCTTATGATCTTTAGGTTGACCCCAGAAGAAGTTGACCACTATACTATCTAATTCCTTATAGGTTCTTTTAGGAAACTTGAAGCATAACATCAGAAAGATAGGGATCACATTAATGATGGATTTTATCATCACCTCTCATCCGAAAATGGAGAGGTGTTTGGTTTGCCAACCATAAATTTTCTTCCTAACTTTATCTCGCACATAAGCCAGAGTAGCAAGCTTGGATCTACCCTAAAGTATAAGAAGGCCAAGGTATGAGCTAGAATCATCAGCCATTGGGACTTGTAAGTATTGGTACACATCATCTCGAATATTCATAAGGGTGTTGGCAGAGAAAAATAGAGAAGACTTATCAAAATTAATTCTCTATCTTGAGGCATTGCAATATTTGTTCAAAAGTTCTTTCATGATGCTACAGTTATCTAGAGGAATTCAAAAACAAGATTGTATCATCTACAAAGAGCTAGTGTGTGAGCATTGGGCAATTTTTAGTAAGTTTTATGCCCTGCAAGTCTCCTCTTTCTACATAAAAGTTCAACATTCTAGAAAAAATATCACTTGCAATAATAAACAGGTAAGGGGAAAGAGGGTCACCTTGCCTAATACCTCTTCATGAAGTAACTTTAGCAATGATCTTACCAACAATTTGAATATTAAAGTGAGGGATTTTAACATAGCTCATCACCCAAGATATCCAAAGATCATAGATTTCAAGTTTGCGGAGAACACCTTCAATAAACCTCCACTCTAATCTATCAAAAGCTTTATTCATGTCCATTTTGAAGGAAAAATTAAAATCTTTTCTAGATTTTTGCCTTTTCAAAAAGTCAAAAACTTCATGAACAAGAAAGATATTATCCTAGAAGAGATAGTTAGGAACAAAACCTCTTTGTTGAGTGGAGATGCAAATGTTCTAGGCAAATTTTGTAAAGTACCTTATCTTAAACTGTAAAGTTCCTTATCTCATCTAAACTTTACCATCACATTCACACACATTACAATACAATCACAAAACAATATCAGAGTAATAACCCTCAAACTCTTTTCAAAATGTGGGATCTCAACTTCATAAAATATACATTCAAATAGGAGGGCTAACAAAAGTACAAATATAATTCTATAACTCAAAAGACATAATTATTTCTACCTGAAAAAGTGCCATTTGCAGCGACATATGGTATAAAGCAATGTGCTCTATTTCTCTATTTTCCATGTGCCACAGTGCATATGACAACAATTTTGCTATTAAATGACAATTCACAGGGTAAACTTCCGTCGCGTTCCAATTTTACATTCGACATTCGATTGGAGTGATTTAAGTGCCCATATAACATATTCAACCACAAAGCATATAAACATTCACATATTCATATTCACATACACTTACGCATTCTAATTGGCAACTCAAATCTTAAATTATAACTTTATGCATTCATTACATATAAGTAGTCATACTACTATCAATTGAAGCTACTCTTTCCTCGCTTCCTTTACTAACCTTCTCGTGCTCTCTTCACCTGTGTACAAAGGTAACGGAGTGAGACATACATCCCAGTAACTTGGATAAATTCAAAATACTAGTTAGTGAATAAAATCATAAATAAGAGATAAAGCAGTATTGTTCAATAAAATAGTATAAATATACATACATTCAATATTATTCTCATTCATGGTTATGCTCATGCACTCCTGATTTCACCTAGCGAAGCAAGCTCTGTGATTGAACCAAGACTTTTAGCCTTATAGAAAATAGGGCCCACCAAACCTCTATCTCAAATCAGGTATCCTCATGGCATATGGGTGGTCTCCTGAGTCCCACCTAGCAGAGCATTCTCAACACTTGAACTATCAAGACTTCCTAACCTTATACAGAATAGGATCACGACCCCCTACCCTAGTCCAGGATACACTCATGGATCATTCTCCTAGGTCTTTCCTAGTGGAGTCAAGCTCTACACTCAAGACCTTCAAAACTTCCTAGCCTTACATAGAGTAGGGTCGTGGCCCCCTACCTAGTCTATAGGGTATACTCGCAGATACAAGACACATGTCTACACATATATCCCATTTCATACATTACTCACACACCCGTATACATATTCCTTTTGTAATATTGCTACTCTATCATTTCATAAATCACAATGCATATAGTTACACAATGTACTTGTAAATAATTTCACAAACAAACAAGTATAAAGGTTACTCTAGTTACCTTTTCACCCTTCTTACTAAGGGTACCGATCACATTAGATTCATAAAGGGTGCGATTACTCATGAGCAATGTCTCATATGCTCAATCTACACAATGAAATGTCCCTCAATCAATTTCCAACATTTAACATAAGCACTAATTTGGTTGAGCCAAATTTCTCAATGCACAAAATAACTCAGTTAAGGCTCTTTAAGTTAATATAATCCTTACTCTATAGTCATTAGCCCTATAAGCTATTCAAATGACCATAAATGCCTCCTAACTCCTTTAACCAACTAATTTCTTCATTTTAACTTGATTCTTTAGGCTAATTTGAGCCTAAACTCTTAAGATTCAACCTTTTAACTTCAGACCAGTCGTAAAACCTTAGTTTCACATTCAAAAGCCCTTTTTAAACCTTTCTCTTAGATTATAACTCTTTAAAACTTTCTAATTCAATTTCTCTATAGATCAAATTTAGAGAAAATAGGGTAGAAATGTAGTGTAGAGCTGTACGATACTTATCCGACAAGTCATTGGCCAAAGCAAACTCCCGATAGTCAGATTATGCAAGCCCTAGCAGAGCTAAGCTTCTCTACCTCTCCTGATGCATTTTCCTTGCTTCTCCCTTCTGATTTGACGAGTTGTTCACGTCAACTTTAAATAAATTTTATGTAATGCGCTGCGGTGCATGGGCATGCACCACGGCACATGGCACAATTAGGTTAATCTCACTTATGCTCACGCATTTCATTCTGACATGCCATTCTACCATTCAATCCTACTAATATATCAACCAACTAACGTAAGATATCAACCCAACATCTTAACCATAATCAATCCATTAATTACTAATTTACCTTGATCAATAATTAGCTCCTTAGATTGAAATTCAGGATGTTATAGATTTGAATCTATCAGTTAAAAGCTTGGAAATTACTTTATAAGCAAAGTTACATTAAC